TAAAGCGTTAGAAAAATCTCACCTTAAGCTATTCTTCTCTTAAAGAAAAATTGCCAGTGTCAGAATGTTAGCTTTGTAGTTATATTTATTTGGATAGGTTACTGGCGTTTGCAACTGGGATGGTTGCCACTTTGTTTTAGTCATATGATTAGTCAGCATATCTCGGGACAAGTAGTTTGTAAAACTAGATAGAGAGAGAGAGAGATAAACATATACAATTCACACCAAAAATCAAGCCCACTACTATAGTAGAGAAGTGATCACTTCTGTTTTCACCAACATAGGCCACAATCGAGCCGTGTTGATACTGATGCAACCGCTGTTGTATTACTCCAGGTTAGATCCAGCACATTTCCATCACGATGAGTACTTTCTCCTAGAGTGTTTAGTAGCTGCATATTGTTTCTATGGGCCCACTCCACGATGAGATCACTGTTTCCATATTGGCGGTCCGTCAATGACTGCCAATTCTGTGAGACTGAGTTGAAATCGCCTGTGAAAGGTTTAAAGAATTCAGAAGTACTTGAAAGACGTTAACTCAATAGGAATTGATAATTTTTCCTTGGGAAGCTAATCCGCCTACGACGGCTTCTGTCCTTTATGTTCTCTTCAGCGTCGCGTTTAAGCTCCCCTCCTAGCCTACCTGAGAATACTCCATTCTCCCCGGCTACCCTCTTTCCTGTGACATCCTCCCCCCCCTTAGTACGTACACCCTTGGGTTCTTCCTCGTGCGCAACCTTTCAATTATCCTTATGCAGCCTTTCGCGTATCTCTAAGCGCTGCTTCGTTGACGCTTAAATATCTAGCCGGGGTGGTCCTAGTGACCAGTCCCAATCCGGGCACAGCCCGTAACACCGCCTCCCAATATCGATGGACCTGTTGGCCGCCAGTTTAATAGAGGATCTAAAGTCTCACTGAGGCCCGGAGCACAATAGATATTTACAAAGGTCAGTCCACATACCTGCACGAAACAGTAGTCTGACAACTGGCTTAATGACGAGGGTGAAATCTGAGCCGCTCGAAGTCCTTTTATCACAAAAGTGACAGCGCATGGTTGTGGTGTCGGCGTCGTATTTGCAAAGGATATGAAACTATCGAAGCCAGGATGGCTTTTCGTCGTAAACTCTCCATCTTCTTACAAGTTCCACGGTTCTTGAATCATAACTATGTGTATTTCTGCTTTCCAAGCTTGCTGTAGCGCTATATCCATGTTTTGCCGACCCTTTCCCGCGTTCACATGGTGAAATAGAAGAGTGCTATATTTGTAGTTATGATTATGAGAATTTGGTGTATTACTCATTATCAAGCATTGTTTCTTCTGGTATGTTGATGACCTCGCGGGCCTTGCCTCTTTCTTGAGATCTTAATAAAGCTACCTTAAAATCTATGTGTCCTCGCTCTCGAATAACTCGTAGCTCGCCTGGTGCCCGAGGCGTTACTTTTCTATTGTATTGCCTTGGCCAGGCCATACAGCTCAGGTAGGTTGACTCGTGCGGTCCAGCACAGTTTGAACATTTGGGGATGTTCACCGAGCATTCGGCTGCTTCATATGTGCTAGAATACTTTTCAGACCGCTGTCCTTTGACGTAGTTCCTTGTTGAGTGGTAGCCCCAGCAGCGTTGACATTGCTCTATGGGGCGTTTACAGGAGAATGGTATAGCAGGGTCACTCTCGTCGAACAGCCTGAACCTTAAGTTGGCTAGTACCTGTTTGAAGTGCACGATCCAGATAGTAGAATAGCTGCCTAGTTTGGTTTAGCTTAGGCGCACCTGTATTGGTGTGACTCCACAAACTGCCTGGCACTCTGCCTTCACCATTTCTCTAGTTACTTCGATCCTTCTGTCTAATGTGCGGATACATATTGGGACATGAGAGACCATGACCAATGTCCAATCTGAGGCGGGCTCAATCGTGATCTCCTCCTTTTGAAGTGAAGGTCCTACACCCAGAATTGATTCCCTGAGTGCGTCTGATGCGCACTCCATGTCTAGGCCAGACCTGACTTGTGTCATCGCTATAATTGCTGAAGATGCGACTTCAGCTTTCTCAGTGATAAGCTTCTGGATTGTGACAGGTGATAGCCTCCACCACTGATATTCTCGCCCCATGCAAACGAAGAGTCGTTTATCCTCTTTCGGAGGCTCTTGTCCGGCTGGTTATGTCTGCACGACAGGCCTTCGCTTAACCAGGTTGTCTGGCGGATCTGGGAGCTTGGCTGCTTTTCGGGATATAGTAACCCACGGAGATGCGGTTTCCCGTGGCTTTTCAGGGAGTTCGTGGTGGGGTTTCTCCGCTATTTTTGTCACCCTAGGTACAGAGGTTTTCATCTGAGTATATGGGATGGGTTCTTGCCTTGGGGATTTGCGGCATTGACGTTACCTATCGCAAACGCTGTTACAATAGGTGAAAGATTTTCTATAAGTGGCGCGACTGAGTGCGCGCCTTCAATTTCTGACAAGGACTTTTCCCAGGCATCGATATTTTTCAGGAAATTTTGCGCCACGCTCATTCGCTGCTTTTGTTCGCGTTCTAATTACTCCATTGCGGAGGCAATCCCAAAAAGGCTCGGGTGTAATAGGTCTCCTGGGTCAGTTGATGCCGAGGACGACGGCTGGATGTGCGCAGCCATGATGCTGCTTGATTTTGCGGGTATCGATGAGTTGACACATTTAATAATTCGCGTTGAAGTGATGATAATGGAGTCATAGTTGTGATTTTTGTTTTTTTTTGCATCAGATTTTAATTGCGTGTGCAGCTATCCAGCTATGAGACAATATCAAAGAAAAGTACAGAAAAGATGACTCAATTTACAAGAGGAGCACTCATGCCTCAGATTTCATTTGCAAGTACTACTGCGAAGTTATGGCGGCTTTTTCTACACCCCAAGTCAACCCTCATCCGTGAATACCCACCCAGGGGAACATCTCAAAAACCCTGAGTTATCCAGACATGCCTCCATCACCTTTCAACTTTTCTCCGCGCAAAACATGGTCTGAGGCGTCTCCTTCTCAACTGTAGTAGGTGCTCAGGCTACTCAGACTATACCGGAGAGCACCACCAATAGGCGGACTGCAACACCTTCTATCGTTTGCTTATTTTTAGTGTCAGCTGCACTCTCGCAAGCGAAGTCTTGGCGCGCACAAAGCTCAATTCGTAAAACTCCTTGCCAAAATTCGGAATTTCACGCCCGTCGAGTTTATACCCTTCCATTGCATCATCTTGTAAACTTGTCCCAATCTCTCTCACGTCCATCCTAAAGAGCTGTCTCCCAGATTTGTGCGCCACGCTTTGCTTCCTCCGTCGGGTATAAATATCGGCGTGGTCGTGTATTTGGTGGTCAACTGAGGCCAGAGAAGGTCGAAGAGAGGTGTAGTCTATTACAGGCTTACCGCCTTGTATGGTTAGAATCGGAGTTGTCCGATTCCATTTGTAATGATTGTTCACGTGACATTATTTGATAGCCAAGTTCGGGTGGGTTACGTAATGCTCAGAATATCCTTAATTGCGTAGTTCATATACTCCTTTCGTTATACAGAATATAAACTCCATTTTGGATTCACTTGTGCGAACAGCTAGCGTGACCAGTCCTTTTACATAGTCATTGGGATGAGGATGTACTAGGTCGTACTTGTAGACTTGATGAGGCTTAGGTGGGAGTCAAACTTGTTGGGAGCGAAAAAACGACGTAGTGGAGAAATTTGAGTCATTGCCTCGTGGGCCAACTTCTTTGATATTGCGAAATGTGACTGAGCTTGGCTCTGGGAGAATATTTCACTCCCAGGTTCGCAGAGGATACCGCGTACAGGTGTTCAGTCTTGCCCTCCGTGATTATTGTTTACCTAAGAGTAAAATGGGTATGGCGTTTGGGGATCTAATGTACCCTGTATTAGTAGTTTCATATAAGCGTGTAGGCGAGGCTGGTGGACACACATTAGTAAAAGCATAGTCGCAGCATTCTATATTTCTGAGTGAGCAGAGTAATATACATATTCTGTTAACCCTATACTTTATCAATTCTACTTCCAGTACTACTGTATTACCCGTCTATAAAAATTATCTTCTAATTGCTATGGCAGATGAAGTCATGACGCCAACCCCTCCTTCTCTAACTGTCCGAGTTTTCTCGGAAACCTTCTCCTATCACCTTTTCCTGAGAACCTTCTCCTTGAAACCTCTTCATGGATGCTTGGCCATAACAAAAACCGAGTTGGTGATGAATAAATCGATTTATTAAACTGTGTGAAGAGAAAAGAGAACTCTAGCTAATACTAACAGGTACTGTCGGAATACTCGAGTGGTATTTATATCACAAGCTTTCTGTAGCAGTAATAATAATTGATGGTTAACATATATCTTCTTTTCTTCCTCTCTATCTAAAGCAAACACGTATACACAGCAGTCGTCCCTCTTTCCTGACACCATTCCTAACCAGGTAACTCATTACTCATCAACATAATTAGTCATCATGTATAAGATAATACATGACAGGTCATTTAGCAGGTATTTATAAGAATTGATCCTCCTCGTGGATCTACAGAATTGACATTTGTCCTTAGGCACAATACTTCTTACCCAGCCACGAATTTCCAGGTGTCACTAAGTTATAACAACGTTCAGCCTCCTGATTAGTAGTGCTACTTTGTTCAGCTTCATCTCCCCCCCATATGGCCTCATCGTAAGAATTCTCACTATTAGGCTTGGGTATCAGCCATGAGCCCAAACAATGATCAGACCGTAACAGGAAGATATTGATACGGCCTAGGGCACCGTAACACAGAAATTCGTTGTACCTTTTTTTCTTCATTTCTTTTGTGGCTTCTAGCTTCCTCACCGGTAGTGTAGGTAGCAATGAGGTCTCAGAGCCCATCTACCTGTGTCATGTCTGAATAGATGTTGGGTCTTTACTGTCACGTTCAAATTTCAAGTCCAAATTTAAATTCTGTACATAGCAAAGCTTACTGTTAAGCCATGCTCGCTTTGACTTTGTTGATCTACGATTCTTATAGCCTCTTAGGTAGGCTGCCATAAGCACAACCTTTATCATTAAATGCAGCATCAGCTGCGGCCTTCCAAAGCGCTGTTACATCATACACCATATCTGCTGTATAGAATAATCGACATTCAGATTCTTCTCGATCATAATTGTACGGAAGTCCATCGGCAAGGTTTCTAGAAGAAATGGAGTGCCGTATATTAACGTAGGCAGCAAGGGATCGCTGCGAAGGAAGTAGTGACAGCTGATTCAAAATCTCTGCTTGAGCTTCGGTAGCACAATGCACTGCCGCTTGTGCGTATTGGAAGATGTGTTTCAAACTATATATCACGCCTCCTTTAATTCCACCAACTCCTTGAATTAGACCTTCCTTTGGACGGCCTCCCATGGCAATAGACTTTACGCCTCCTTGGTTCCGCATAAATCCACCAAAGAGGGCACAAGCTGATGAACAATATCCATCGTAAAGCTGTGACAAATTAGCAAACTAAAATATAACCAAGCTACTTATCATACCATTATAATATTGCTTGCATCAAAGTGCTGCGTGGAAATTTTACGGGAATCATAACCAGTAATATTAAAACCAGGCCCGTGAATAGCATCAGAAGTGAGGATAGGGTCGTTGAGGTTCCATCGCGAGTTATTGGTGAAATTATCCCCCTTTATAGTGTAAGGACCAAACTTCTCCTCTAGACTCCTAAACGGCTGGTAGTCTATATTCAAATCAGAATGGTAATTAAACCAGGATTTATTCCATCTAATCTCGCCTTCTGTAGCATTAACTGGATCAAAATCATCAGAGTCTGCGGAAAATATCTCAGCCAATGCCATGAAAGCTTTTCCTACCCTCCAACGATAAACTTCATCCTCCTGAATAGTAGGAAAAAATTGTCGGAATAAATCATGACTTAGGAGAGAAGATCCACCTTCATTATCGCTTAGATCGATGATTAATTTTGTCTTGCCATCTCTCTTTGCATTGATCATGAATTGTTGTGCAACCTCCTGAAATTCAGTTAAAGATTCAGGCCGAAAGCTCAAAACACTCAAAATAGCTACTTCTTCTTGTCCTTTCCCATCGATGTAGTACCCAGACAACGTTGAATCACTTGTTGTGATTACGGGAGTTGCATATTCAGAGGCTACTAGGGGATGAGCTGCTGGTTGGGTCACATCAATACTCTCTGTAGGATTATCGAAATTGATGGAACAAAATTTCGAGTAAAATTGTTGGCCATTAGCAACATCACTAAAGTTTCCAATGACTCTAGCAATGTTTTCTAACGTCAGTGATGATCCGTTAGTAAATGTGAAAGTTGTGTTAGGTCCCGGGTATATAAATTGAAGACGTCCCCCTTCAGAGAAGAAGCCTTCCCAGCCGGACGCCGCATGGGATGCTTTGCTAAAGAACATGCTGTTGTAGGAAGCATCGAGATCTGGATAATCGGGTGCATCCCTGCTGAAATTAAAGACATATGTATAAGCGTCTACGCCATTAATTTGAGCGACGATTGGTGCCGTCTCAGGTGTGGACAAAACATCGGCTAGATAAGGTCAGAGTACGTTACCATCTAAGTGGCTCCAATTAACCTACTATGAAGTTTGATAACGGGAAGTGATCGTCCGTCCTCGCTAATTGAAACAAGTGAACGCTGGCGAGCAAATATAAATGATTTTGATATGGCATCAGGATATAGGATTAAGTGACCGTCGCAAGCTTTTACAAAAACTTGATACAAATCGGCCTGAAAGACGTATTCGTTTGCATACTTGTTTTCAACCAAGTTTTTTCGAACTTGGTCTAGTGCAGCGATGACATCGTGAGCCGGGCAGCCATAATCTGCTGGGGGATCTTTTTTCCACGCCAGATCTCGAAGTTGATAAATTAGCCATTTTCCAACATTTTAATCGGTATTTACCCACCACTTTGCCATTCCATGTACGGTTCAATAGCGTCAACAAGCTCTACAGCAGCTGTCTTGTTAAGTGGCACCGAGTTTAAGCATTCATGGGCAAGCTGTGCGGAGATTGTCGGCCAAGCTGGATTTAGGTCAGAACACTTTGTATGATTTCCAAAAATGAGATTTTAGACAAACTAGAAGGTGCTGTAGCTACATGTGCAGCAGAAGAACTACTGACAAGAGCGCAAGGCTCAACAAACTTTTCCTCTGCAACAGTAGGTGGCGACGTGATTTGGGCCTGCGTGACTAACGTTGGTGTGATTTCTGTCGGCGCAACCTCACACGCGCAATCACTAGCAACTCGTTCCTGGTCGAATTCATTACTGTCGTCCCGACATGCTATTTTTACTTGTTCTGGAATGATAACGGTCGAATCTTGACAATAGCTAGTGCAGAAATCTTGGATTGTGGTATGGCGTCTAGAGACATGTGTAGTAGAGCGAAGTGCGATGAGGCAGCTATCAGAAACATATTCAGCTGCAACTGAGACGCTTTGCAGTAGCAGAATAACCCATGAGTAATTCATCATCTTCAAAAATACTCAGCTGAGTTGAATCATCTGCAGCAAAATTCACAAAATGAGACACGGCAATTTATTCTGCACAGAATCTTGGGTAATTCTATGCTGTATTTCTGTGCACACGTCTTCCAAAGTTCAATAGGGATGGCATATATATATAAATCTACAGCGCAAGGGCAACTACTGCTAAGCATGAAAGTGGTAAAATACATTTGCTAACACAAGCATTGAAAAGGATTTCATTTTAATTTAGCGGTATTATTCTGGGTAAGCTGAGAGAGAGTGCAAAAGATGTTTGTTGGTTCTAATTAGCTTTATAATTGCAGTGTAAATCTCTACCCAACACCTTTGCAAATTCCGACAGGCTTACTGAGTCAATGTAGAATAAATACCCCATTTACTGCGGCCACAGGAGAAAATGGAAGATGAATGGGCGTATCGTAAGATTAAATCAACTATTTTTTCCCGTGTAGTGCTGGACTTTGGTGGGTTGCTCGCCGAGGAAGGATGTCAGCTAATTTATCAAGACTGCCGAAATTTGCAATCTATGGGTAACTTCGCGCTCTCAAACTAGGTTCGGTGATTTGTTTGGTATTCTATTCCGGCCGCTAGACGGATCGAGCAATCGTCAAAACCATTGGCATGAAAATTCGCAAGTAATATGTTTATCGTATTACATGTGTCGTAGACAATCTAGTACATTGGGCTCCTCTCTGTCCCAGGCCACACCTTGTACAGTGCTCCTGCCTCTCATGTTTCTTGAAGGATCATGTAATTATTCCCATGATAGATAGCCATTCAGCTGGTTACTTACCTGTAGAATTCAGCTACATTTTCCACGAAACCTTCTTCCCACACAAAACAGAATGGTAGCAATGGAACAATGCGTGCGCAGAAAAAGGTCTCCAAGACCTGCCATGTTGTAGCCTGAATATTCTGGCCTGAGGCAGTTACCCAACGGGCTATCCTGCCAGCCTATATTAACTAAAGTGATACGCCTTCTCTTTTTATATTTTCATAACATCAGTCTAATTGAAGGGGGAGTTTATAAATTCTGGGGAAAGTCTCTAAAATTGTGGTTGAAAGGAACGTTCTCAGCATCAAGCCGGGTCGATTTAGAGGGGCAGAACGTCGGGTATTGTTTGATGAAAGCTTTTTCCCTTACCAAGGCAGCTTACCGTCTTCATGGCTCTGTATATAGAAGCCCAATAGGACGTTAAACTTGAGAAATCTGATTGAACTAAAGAGATAAAATTACAAAGTTATCTCAAAGACGGACTTTAGGAAATAGCAATCCTGTGCTTCATGAAATTATCTTGCATAAATTAGTAATATAGGCTTTCGGGGATGATTAATATTTAGGATACTGGATGAATTCACATAGTATTTCCTAGATTAAATATCTGAGGAGAGTGGCAATTCAACTCAGCTACCCTCATGCGATGGATGGTTCAAGGACGAGCCGGAGGTTGTATTAATGAATTGTTTTGATTATAAGAAGCGGAAGAAATGGCTACCCAGCTCTTCAGCTTCGCAATTTGGAGGACGAAGGCTGAACACCTGTCAGTGGTGTCCTCTACGAACCTGAGAGTGAAATATTCTCCCAGTGCCGAGATTCAGTCACGAAAAAGGGTGGGATGAATTTTATTAGGATGGATTTTCGACTCGAAGGAGTTGCACTCGATATTTTGGTCGAAAAGTCAGTCGGCAGAGATTTCACAGGCGTAACAAAGTCGTTTAAAAACTCATCATCCACAACATACGATTCACGAATGGGTTTAGGTCTGTTTGGGGGTCGTATTCAAACATCTGACATCTCTCAAACTCCTTACATATTTGCGACGAAGCATTTCTCAGTCGATCCTATACCTGCGACCCACTTCCATACTCGTCCCATCACCTACCCACACACGCCCTAATGAGGAAAGTCAAGATGGAAACGGGACGTGTGCAAAGGAGGAAGAAGAGAGAATAATCACCGAGGGGATTACACAAATTCTCAATGACGAGAACACCCTAACAGTACGATATGAAGGTGCAGGGCTAGAGCAACGATGAGATCTGGGACGGCATTTATATTCCGGAGTTAATGAGGATTTCAAGGGCTCGGGCGCGTAATGGCCGAGGCTGAGGAGGAAATTGCGCTACGGCGTGTATACAGCGGGTTTCTGGACGGTTGGGCTTGACATGGTTCAACACATGGGTGAAGTCTGAGTTGTGAGGTCAAGACTGGACACCTGTATGCGGTGTCCTCTACGAGCCTGGGAGTGAAATATTCTCCCAGAGCCAAGTTCAGTCAAATTTAGCAAAACCGAACAAGTTGGCCCACGAGGCAATGATTCAAACTACTCCACCACGTCAAATCTTCACTCCCAGAGAGTCCGATTCCTACCCAAGCCTCATCAAGTCTACAAGTACGAACTAGTACATCCGTATTCCAATGATCAAACCTCTCGTCGACTTTCTCTGGCCTCATCCGGTCACCAAATATACGCCCACGCCGATATTTATACCCGACGGAGGACACAAAGCGTGGCGCACAAATCTGGGAGACAGTTCATTGGGATTGGCGTGAGAGGATTTAAGACAAGTTAACCAGATGATGCAAAGGGTGGACCCAGTCTCGACGGGCGTGGAATTTTGTATTTTGGCACGGAGTTTTTACAAATTGAGCTGTGTGTGCGAAGGCTTCGGTTGCGAGAGTGCAGGCGACACTATAAACACTGCCATGGTTGGATGGTGCGGTGGTACATCGTCTTGGCCGGTCTGCCAAGTAGATTCTGGATAGCTTGGACACTTATCCCACTCGAGACAGTAGATCGCTGGTTCAAATCCGGCAAAACGCTATCACATTTCTCGCGGCGCTGGTATACATGGATGACGAAAGCATGCTTTGTTATATTAACTAGGCTATATGGGAGCAGGACGATGGATACTCTTGGGGAAGTTATGCTCACAGTAGGTCTCTATAGTCGCTGTCGCGTGTGTTCTCGTGATATGTAAGACTTGACTCTATATTCTCGTATAAAGGAAACTTAGTTACAAATGAGTGGACGGAGGTTGAGACCTTCTTATATCTTGCTCCAGACTTACTGTGTTGTTCACAGCCTAGTGCTAGAACATTCCCTTTTGATATCATTTCTCTCCTACGAGAAATGATCAGCTCGTTCTCTCTCAGTCTATCAGTCTCCCGCTGATTCCATTATCTCTATTCCATCGAGTTCTAGTTTGGTCCAGTATACCCACACATGCATTACACACTAAACACCCCACGGTTTAGTTCCACAGTCAAGTGCATATGCTATGACGCGACCTAAAGCATGTACCATGGTAAGTTACATGGATAACACAACATGCTTGGATAACCAAAGGTTTCGAAATTCCCTTCGGTGGATACTTACGGAGGAAGGTCGACTGTTTGTGTAAGCGAACATACCTCATAGTGGTAATTGCAAATGAAATCCAGAGTATGAGTGTCTCTAACCTCAAAAGAGTCATCCCACATGTATACATAGCATCGGTCATGTGTCATAGCTAGATAGCTTAATACACATTAAATGATTTAAAAAAAACGCTAGCACCGGGTATACGCAATCTCCGTTCGCCAAACACCAGTCGGTGAGGACTACTTATTACCGAGCCTAGTAGAATCGACAAAGTGTATCCCAAAACAGAAATAATAGAAAACTCAACAACAAAACCCTTCATCAATTACTGCCATTAACCATCACCTGACATATCTCTGTACTCCATAATTTCAACACTCCTCCACAGAGTAAGTTGCGGTGACTCTGGTTTAATTACACAACAACTCCCAGCTATGATGTAAATTTTTCGAAATTAATCCTTAACAGGGGCTTCGTCATACCATCTGCAACCATGTCTGTGGTAGGGATACATTCAACATCAAGTATTACTCTCTCCGCCAGACTTCTGGTATGATGATAACAGATGTATGTGTGCTTCGATCGCTCGTTAAGATGGGGGTTTTCGACAAGGGCGAGGGCCCCTTGATTATCGCTCAACATATGAACTTTCTGAGGATTTGCTCCAGTATAGTCAGGACATCTGTTACCTTTTGACCGTTGTTTGAGCTTAGGAGTAGAGCTAAGCTTAATATTGAGAATTCTTACCGTGAGGCTGTATGAGGGGGAGATGAAGCTGAACGAAACTGCACTACTAATCAGGAGGCTGAACGTCATTACAACTTAGCGACACCTGGAAATACGTGGCTGGGTAAGAAGTATGGTACCTAAGGGCAAGTCAGTAGTATGTTGATTCACGAGGAGGATCAATTCTTGTAAATGAGAGTTAGTAGTAGCTAGAGTTCTCTTTTCTCTTCATATAGTTTAGTAAATTGATTTATTCATCACCAACTTGCTTTCCATCATAACATCTCAAGTCTCTGAACATTTGGGAGATCCACTGGCCTTGTTTTGCACAAGCATAGAGTGATACGTATTCTGATTCCCTAGTGGAAATGGCTACTGATCGTTATTTTTCATTAGACCAGGTGTTGTGATATACAATATGGATGGGCGTATGTAAGCAATGAGACATTACGTGAACTAAACCACGTGTGGCTAGCAAGGCACGGTGAGGGATTAGCCGAGGCTCATGCGCAAGGTATTAGGAACACTTCTCTTGTAGAGATAGACTGTGCTGCTTCATCCCTTTACACATATATATATATATACACATATAGATTCTAATTAATTTAATCTCCACACCTTGCTCTGCCCTCAGCTCCGCAGACTATTAAGCTCCAGACTCCAAGACGTCGTACATAACCTCATAACCATAACACCAGGAGATAGGGCCACCGTAAAACATTTCCACACTTCCAGATACACTTTTTCGGTCGGACCTGTCACGTGCCCAGTCGGCATCGTAAGAGATCACGAAATGTTTATGCGCAACCCCAGGTCCGTAACGCGGTTTCTGGGTAACAGTTGATCGCAGGTATGTAAACAATTCCTTTAGCGCATGACCATGATGTACTATTGGATCAGTCATAAATTGAGATAGCTTTCCAAGAACGAAAGCGATATCCAGTCGCGTTAAGTCCATAGCGAACGTTAAGATTCCAATGCCTTGTTGTTATTCTGTGTCATCGATCCTCTTATCCTCTTTACTTGCGGAACGAACTAACCTACGTCGGATGCTGTAATTTTCTTCGCTTTAGATCTGTCGGCTGAAATTCCAAATCTTTCAAGCACATACCTCAAATATTGCTTCTGATCAATCAAGATAGTGCGGTCGGCACGTTCTCTCGTAACCCTCATTCCAAGTATCTTTTCGATCCCCCCCCCGGATTCTTGGCATTGAAACGAGAAGAGAGCTTACTGAAGAACCAGTCTAGCTCATCAGTAGACTTAGCAGCTGCAGCATTATTGTCAACGTATACAAGTAACTCAATCTACCTCTCTTTTTGGATAAATAAACATGGATGTGTAAGGCTTTGAACAAACTCCCATTGTACCACATGAGTTTTGCAGAGCACATTCCAGTCTTTTCATATCGCGTAGAAAAAATTTGAAAGATGATGGAGGCATGTCTGGATAACTCAGGGTTCTTGAGACGTTCCCCTGGGTGAGTATTCACGGATGAGGGTTGACTTGGGGTGTAGAAAAAGCCGCCATAACTTCGCAGAGGTACTTGCAAATGAAATCTGATGCATGAGTGCTCTTCCTTTACGTTGAATCATCTAGTCTGTACTTTTGATATTGTGTCATAGCTAGATAGCTGCATACGCAATTAAAATCTGATGCAGAAAAAAAAAAAACCTGGTGGAGCTAAACACGGAACCCATCATCCCTGCCTGAGGCATTTTTCAAGAGTCCTTACACCCTTGTGCATCGTAATCCTGGCCATCACCGGCGCAACAGTTTCTACAGCTTCATCCCAAAATTCAAGTGGAAAATCTGCGTCTTTCAGCATTGCTCTCATGCTGTATGTCACATGATAGAATAAACTGTATCGCAGCATTGAATATTCTACTAGCAAGAAGATTGATAGTCATGGGTATAAGAGTATTTTCCTGTAGTTAGATATAAACCATCGATAGAACGAATGTAACAAGCTAAACGTGTATCATCGTCCTCTCCATAAGGGTGACGAGCGCATCAAAGTATGAAAACTACTGCTTGTATGCAGTCTCTCTCCTCATAATCACCATAAACCAGCGTTCCGCAGGGACGATCAGTCAAGTATAGGAGCAGGTATAATGCAATGACCCGAGTCACTGACAAAGAACTTCTCAGTTACATGGAAAATGAAACAAGCGTAGGATAAAGTAGACTAGTGGACCGCAGTTTGGTGTGTGGGGACTCCTAAAAGACTCCAGTCATATCACCGTCGCGGAATATCGAATAAATACTGGTTTATTTACGCCTTATAATTTCTTTAGATAGATCAGTGGCACGCGGTATTGCGTTGTAAATGTTGACTGGAGAGCCCTTTAGCTGCAGATGAAGTCTATGTACTGATAGCCAGGTCATGTGACCTGCCTAGCTTAGTTTACATGGGTAGGTGAAATAGCTCCCCTTGACACGATTGAAGAGCAGTCTCTTTGAGAGCTTCGATATAGAAGGCTTGAATATTTGTATATCAAATAGCATTTGTTCCCCAACCGTAGATCAAAACCAAAGTTACATGCCATGTCTTATTTAGACACAAGCTCCTCCTGTTCCGAAGACTAGTAGCTATTCTCCAATTGAGCCCTCATTATCAGTGCGTGAACTAGCTAACAATCATGCTGCGCATACAGGCAATGCCAATATCGCAGGATTAGGAATTGGATCTTTTCTCCGAGAGAAGGGAAAGAAAAATGATTGATTGTCCTATCTTCCATCAACTCACTTCTGTTGAAGTACAAGTTCGCTCATCCTCCTTAAGTCAATTTCTATAGTCCAGACCGTGTAATCTCATCATCCCGTCTTACGAACAGAATGTGTCATCTGATTTTACACAGGTATGAATATGATGAGCGCTAATGTCGGAAACAGGGAAATGCAGGTGCAACTAATTATGGTATGAAATTGCAGACTTTTTTAAACCATTTAGTGTGTATTCAGCTGTCTAGCTATGACACATGGCCGATGCTATTTATACATGTGGGATGACTCTTTTGACGTTAGAGACACTCACACTCTGGATTTCATTCGCAATTACCACTATGAGGTATGTTCGCTTACACAAACACTCTACCCTCCTCCGTAAGTACCCACCGAAGGGAATTTCGAAACCTTTGGTTATCTAAGCATGCTTTCGTCATCCATGTATACCAGCGCCGCGAGAAATGTGATAGCGTTTTGCCGGATTTGAACCAGCGATCTACTGTCTCGAGTGGGATAAGTGTCCAAGCTATCCAGAATCTACTTGGCAGACCGGCCAAGACGATGTACCACCGCACCATCCAACCATGGCAGTGTTTATAGTGTCGCCTGCACTCTCGCAACCGAAGCCTTCGCACACACAGCTCAATTTGTAAAAACTCCGTGCCAAAATACAAAATTCCACGCCCGTCGAGACTGTATCCATCTTTTGCATCATCTGGTTAACTTGTCTTAAATCCTCTCGCGTCCATCCTAAAGAACTAACTCCCAGATTTGTGCGACACGCTTTGCTTCCTCCGTCGGGTATAAATATCGGCGTGAGCATGTATTTGGTGACGAGCTAAGGCCAGAAAATTTCGACGAGAGCTGTTCTCATTGGAATGAGGATGTTTTAGGTCGTACTTGTAGACTTGATTAGGCTTTGCTATTAACCGATTATGTTGGGAGTGAAAATTTGACATGGTGGAGTAATTTGAATCATTGCCTCGTGGGCCAACTTCTTTGATATCGCGAAATTTGATTGAACTTGGCTCTAGCAGAATAACTCATTCGCAGGATCGTACAAGGCACCGTGCACAGGTGCTCAGTCTTGTCCTCCTGTGTCTATGCTAAATAGCATAGGATGCAGGTACCTCGTTTGCATACTAGCCGTTACAATCTTATCTCGTTATCCAAGTGATCAGAGCCTAATAAAATTTTCCACGAAAAGCCGCGCAGCTCCCTATGCATTCTCTTTCATCAAATTGACTTCGCTAATCGTATTTTTCCATCTCATCAGGCCATCTTCCGTCTCAATATCCACCGTGCCATGGCATGGTAGGTACTGGAGCCGGTATGAAGAGATCAAGCGGCCTCGACGCGTCGCAAAACGTGACAATGGCTAACCAATCCAAAGGCAGCGGAGCGTCCATAGCTCCATCAGATAAGAATCTTAATAACCAAAGTAAGCTACTAAAGAAGCTCAGAACTCTTTGTTCAGATGAAAACAACGATAGCATCACCATCACAGCGGAAGATATCGCGTAGGCCGTGAGGGCCTTTGACATACACAACAAGCCTCAGAAGGAGATGCAGACGAAAAAATCTCCACTCAAGGAAATGATGTTGGCTCCTAAAGATGAAGTCAAGAAGGGTCTCGCGGAGCCCGTTCGCGACGCGGCTCCATCAATGTCCCGGCCGCCGGCCCTAAAAACTTAGGCGTCGGTGTCAGCGCCGCCCATGGCGAAGACAGCGGTTCGAAACGCGACGAGGCTGCGAATGACGTGCAACCAGCATAGCCGTTTACAAGGGCACAAAAGCTTATTCCAGAGGCATAAGCAGTGCGACAGATGCGGAGCATTGAATCCGAGCAGGTCTTTCCGCCGGCAATCCACAAAGATAAAGCCCTCAATACGGCAGAACAAGAGAAATTTCACGTCCCACGCCAAGATGTTCCCATGGAGGTTTGCCGTGTCCCGCTTCGGACGAAAATTGAGTTTGGCAAATATACCAACCACACAACATCGATTCAGGAGATGGAGTCGTCTACAGATATTTGAAACCCAAGTTTAAGGATAAATAGACTAAGATGAATGCAAGATAGATGGGTGATTGAGCGGGCCAATGGAAACGGCCGCACAAGGGGCTCAATTGCTCTGAGACTTCCCACGGAGGTCTTGCAAAAGTAAGTTGTCCAACACGGCGTTGTCCTCAATGCGACGCTATACTCGCTGCAGGTATGGTCCCCGAGGTTCAGCGAAAGCAGTGTTACAACTGCAGCCAATGGGTACACAATCAGACGTCGTGCAGAAAGGCAGCTGGAAGCAGTGAGTGCGCAGGTGTTCACTAAACCCTGGACTGCCCATTGAAAAAAGGTTCTTGTGTCAACTGTGGCAACGAACATCGTTTGTGGCAGAGAGCGTGATATATGAAATTTCAAGTCTACAATGGGAGTGTTCAGAAAGTCTGCTTTGAGTACTGGAACGAACGGCGGATACTTGAAAGGAAAGCAGTCCCATAATTGGTGCACAAAAAGCGTCTACGACTACCAAAGATTAGAGATTCGCTCTGGTCAGTAAACGCAATGTTGAAGCCCCCAAGAGGGGACCGTGACGTTTACGAAAGACAATTGCAGATTCAATGGCAGTACTACACACATTGAGGGCTATAACACCGGCAGTGACAGCTATTCCTTCGATAAAAAGAGGAGGGAATGAAAGCAAAGGGACCCCTCTAAACTTCAGCTATAAGAATCGTGGCGTTAGAGATGTCAAAATTTAGGGTTAAACATAATAAAATGGATCAAAGTGGCACCTTCATCATCAAGCAGGGCTGTGCCATCGCTGCTGGATTATAAGTTTTGTGGCTTGAAATCATTTTCTCTACTTAATATGGCTTACCGTGCACATGGTTCTGTAAAAAGATATGTCATAGGACGTCAAACTAGAGAAATCCAATCCAAGTGATCAGAGTAATTACATTTCAATATTAAATAATAGTAATAAAATACTGCACATTTCAACAGTCATTAAAAAACTATAAAAGCTAATCTGTGAAAATTGCATTACTCGCCAGGCATACCTGCTGCCATATTTGTATACTGACTGGCTGGGTAGTTGAGGTTATTCTGCATCACATCCAAATTTTTGAACTCACTAGCTGTTGTTCCAATCAAACTTTCGCCACCAGTCTTATCGCCGCTGGCCTCCCAAAACATTGCACCTCCAAGCCCTTGCGATTGAATGTATTGTGCCTTCTTCCGAACAATTTCGGTGTTGTCATACGAGATGAGTGTTTGTGCCGAACTATCGTAAGAATAGCTCGACAACGTCTCGTTGTCAACTTTTTCTGTAGCACCGGATTTAGGTAAAACCTTATAATCCCACACACCATCTTCCCAGGATCCACCACCTACAGAAGTAAAGGGCTGTCCGAGACCAGCAGTGCCCAAAAAAGAGCGACCGTACAAGGGGATACCCATGACGATCTTTGACGGTTGAACGCCGGCACTTACGTAGTCCTTGATCGCCTGTTGCGTATTATAAGGGGTGGAGATTTGATTGGAGCTGGACGGGTAAAGGTTGGAGGAATGGCCGGTATTCTTGTCCCAGGATCCAGTATAGTCGTAGGCCATTAGATTCCAGGTATCTATGTGCGCATTCATCTCTGCTAGGTGCATTTTACGGTAGTGCACAGCTCCTGCGGGACATGCTACGGTAATCAGAAAGTGGTATCCGGGTGCATGTTGAGCGGCATATTCATCTAGCTTTCGACGAACCTCGGCGAGGAGTAGCACGTAATTGACAGCTTGGGTCTCGTCGGCTGGATACTCCCAGTCGATATCTACACCGTCGAAACCCAAATCTTGTATAAACTTGACGACATCCGAGGCAAATATGGCGCGAGTTGCACTACTGGATGCAGCGGCAGCAATGTTGGTGGAGTATGTCCAACCGCCCACGGACATGAGGGTCTTAAGCTGTCGATTATGTTTTTTGACAATGTAGAGTTGCTTGATGGAGCCAAAAACATCATTTCCCGCGGCACTTTTCGTATCGGTGGGATATAGCTTTACAAGATCTGCATAGGGATCGGAGAGAAAGCTAGACTAGTAAGCTATGCCTGATTTTACAGGTGTCAATTATCTTACACTGTTCCATTTGCAGCTATGTTCCAGAAGGAATATAGAACATGCGTAATCTGGGATGCAGGTAACATCTGAACGGTGTAGGCTCGATCGTAAATTGCCCTTTGGGTACTCTTTAGCGAAGATCCTCTAGACCGGCAAAAATGCTAACGTACCAATTTACAAAGTAAACAAAGTTTTTGTAGCCGGAGACAGAAGGAGAGCCATGCGGTGCGGTATGTGGTGTAGTGCTAATTGGAGCATGCGGTGCAGTATGGGAGGGTGTTTGAAGCGGCGCATGAGATGGGTGTACTGAGTGGTGGTGGGTTGGAGAGGACCTAAGATATTCGATGCTGGTGGCATTGGGATATTTTGGTAACTCGGGTGAAATCACTGACGTCATATACTGTGGAGTCAGGCATGCTAGGCCATAGAAAATAAGGATTAATCTCGACATCTTCAGAGAGCCAAAGGGGGATCCAGAGAGGTCAAATCAGATTCGTGTTAGAAAATAGGCATAACTTTGAAAGCCAGTCAATGGAAGGGCAAGTTCAGGGTACAGATGGACCGTCCTCTAGGAGTCTCCGGAATTAGGTACTTGCTCTGCGAGAGAAATAGAAGGGAAGAAAGAATGCCCTCTGAGGGCTATGGAGAAATATTTTACAGTCTCTGAAGAAAAGATACAGGTGTCCACGGATTATCGAAAGGTTTCGCGACTTCCAAACTGGCTTCATGAGGCCTTTTAAGCATAGGAGATTGCTAGATCTTCGATGACCAACTCTTTTGCAGTCATTCTTATAGGTGGCAATTTAATCTCTACGCCACTAACTTTATGTTAATGATGCGGAAATTTCCCCAACTCTGAATTGGAGAGTAATCAGCAAATGTGGAGTAATATTGTGGCCGAGCCTAGCCAGACAAGATGGATCGAAAATCCACAGGCGCTCCCTACGGTTGGTGGGCTTAGACGCCGCAGATAGAGGCAAGCAGATGAGCCAAATTTTCATCAGGGCCGGGGTGATACGACTCTCAAATGACCGAACTCTCGACCAGGGATCTGAGCCAAATGCAGCAGCTTGGTGTGGCGAGGGGTCCACCCAATACTGACTCTAAGCTAATGACTTGAAATTTTCTTGATGCCTTCCAAAGACGGCTTAATCATCGGATGGTTTGAAAGAATATTTCTCTGGGGCACCGTCGGGCTTTGTTGGCTCTGGAAAGTGTGGAGATATTGCAGAGACGACTGGATGGGGGAGCGAGGTCTCGATGAAAAACTGACGAGTGTGGACTAGACTTTCCTGTTGCCATACTTCTTGCTACAGTTGGTGGCCGGATATACTCACGGCATCTGGAAGAAGCCGGGGGGCGAATAAAAGGTGCTAAAGAAAGCAACAGATTTCGCGGAGATAGTCATAATAAGTTGTAGATAGCATCTGGGCAGAATCGACGAGAAAGGCGAGAAAAAAGCCCGGGTTGCGCAGGCTCTGGGTCAGCTTGATCCTGGCCATCGTCAGAGAGCACAATTTTGATGATTCCGTAGCCCGTTGACTCGTATCAATGCGCCCCATCTGCGCGACATTTGAGACTGGGGGTTGAAGGCGATAGAGTGGTGCGATTCAAATATTACAAGTTCTGATCTACTAAGTTTTGGGAATAGACAGAGGTCCAGGGCCATTGAAGTTCCAGAATCTGACGAGAAGAAAAACTAGTACAATCACACTTTGCGCACAGGCCACGCAGTAAAGCCAGACATTTTCCATCCAAAAAGGCCTCGAGTCACCAAGGCACTTCCTCGCTCTCGTAGCGCAGTCTGGCCAAAGCAGCTAAATTGCAGTCTTCCTTCCGACACTCGTAACTCCTATGCCGACGACATCTGAGAAGCCTGTCAGTTTTGACCCAGAAGACTCGGATCATAGTACCGCCGTGCAAGGTTCGGAATAACTGATGCACACCCCACCTGTGGAGAGTTAGTTCAGATCCGGATAATAGTAGCTTTTAAACATATGGAAGATATACCACACAGATCACAACAGACCTTTACATGCAGATATACAGTCTCTTATGGGGTGTAATAGTACAATTGTCAAAATGACTGGGGTTAGATCCCTGTACATATTAATTAGATTGGTTTAGTCTTCATGCAGGCCCATGTCTAATTACTCGACTAGCTATGCAAGCAAGGGGAACTATCCAATGATATTCCGTGAAAGTCTAAATTATGGGAATGGTTTTCAACTCTAAATGAAAAGTACAATGGTCCTCATTTAAAATTAAAAATTAAAAAATTTCAAATGATAATATCTAAAAATGCACATCTATTTCAAAAAGTATTGCTCTGTATTACAAAAGTTTACATCGAAGCCCTCCGTATGGCTCGCAACTAAAATGAAAGCGTACTACATGTTTTGTGTCTCTTCTCCATCCTAATACTTTCTGTACCCTCCATTTGCCTTTATCACTGCTACACATCTTTCGTGAATGCTGCCAACTAGTAACAATAGCTCCTCAGAAGGTATGGAGTCCCATGCATCCTGTAGCAATGTCTTCATCGTGGCAGAGCGCACAAGCCTGACCCCATTTATCTCAGGACTATTTACCTGAATGTGGTTTTTTAAGATATTCCACAATGACTCGATCGAGTTCCGGTCCGGAGAGTAGGGTGGCCATCTCATAGGCGTTATTCCAACTTCACGCAGCGCCTCAATTGTTGAGTACGCTTGGTGAAATGGTGCGTTGTCGTGCATGTATAGAATTTCTGGATTATCCGAGTGAAATTGATTCAAAAGTGGCAAAATCCTTTCACAAAAGGATGAGGACCTCATTGATCCCCAATCCTTCTCCTAGACTAGGAATGGGCCATTTTATGATCCGTTAAATGATCCCCAAAACATCCAGCTGTTCCCATGAGTATGGCGAGCCACAATACAATTCTCATCAAACTCATCATCAGGCTAAACTCTGCTGTTAATACAAGGAAGATTTAGATAGAATTTAAATGTACTTTTCTTGTGACACGAGGTTTCATATGACAATCACCCGATACCCAGGTTTCATCAGTCCATAATATGCGACTCCATTGTTCATCGCTCCAATCTAAATGTAATTGGGCGAACTCCAATCTTTTCTGCTTGTTCACCGCGCTTAACGGAGGCTTCTTCCGAGCAATGCATCTGCTGTAACCTCTTTATTGAGTGCATTAGAAATTAGACGTTCACTGCATCTCCAGTGGCTGAAGGGCCCCATAGCTAGTTCCAAATAGCACATCTGTCGATTTTCTGGAGACTCCCGGACGAAAGCCTCAAGCTCATCAACTTGTTCCGCGCTTAATTTGGTAAGGGTTCTTTGCGAGACATAGGATTCTCAGTCTCTCGAGCACACGCAAGTTGTACTTGTCTTATTGTGAAGCCATGTTTGTCGGATATATTTTGAAGTGTCAAGCCAAGTCTTCTTAATGCTCTTATTTCAATACATTGATCGCGAGTTTGATGCTTGCGAGCTTTAGTTTCTGAAGCAGACTTTTCGAGAGACATTTTTTGCTAGAATAGAGGATGAATTGATAGTGGTGAGAGGTTTCAGTGACTGTATAGGTTAGGCAGCCAAAAATGTCGTTGAAAATGTGTTCTACTAAGCGATTATTAGAAGAAGACGATTGGACCATACTTCATGGCGAGCGGGGTAAGGAGGAGAGACATACTAACCTATTACAAGCTAGCCATACTGCGCCTACAGGGCTAATCCCTTCAACGACCCAGTTTGAAGTTTTACCTTTTGTTTGTTTGTTTGTTTATTATTTAACGTCTAACTAATGATTATAATACACTAGTCCCAGAGTTTTACCTTTTGGAACCTAGAAGCACTGTACATGTACAATAAGGGCCTAGTGATATCGGTATTCATGACTCACGTCAGCTTTATATACATCACGGGATATTAACGTGACATGCGGCTAATGCAAGCGAAGCCCAATCTTGGACTCGAGTGATCTATCCCCTGCACGAGCGGTACGTTGGACAGCAAGCGAGTAGCCTTCACTCCGGGTGGTGTAAGCAAACCCGGCAAATTAGTAAAATTTGGTGATTACTCGCAGTTTTCAACGCCGGACTAGCTTTATACGTAGTGGTGACTAAAGACGCATTATCTCTTACCTGATCGGATAATTCCGGTGACGCTTCGACAGTAGAACGAGCCGACCACAAATGCCCGACTGAGGAAATAGTCTGCACTTCTTTTCCTCTAGGCCACTATGTCGTCGTCGCCTTTTCAACGCCCTATCCGAAAATCCAACTATTACAATTACCACCTATCCAACTGTCACTACAACCATAGGTGACCCTTCACTTAAACTCTATACCTCCGTTGCAATAAACTCTATCTGCGCCGCTAAATAGAGAGACCAACCCAGTCGAATGAACCTCCTGGCTTGGACGATGCTGCGAGTCATTCCGGAATCCAATGCATAGAGCTGTAGACGCCCTTCTCTCGCCAGACTGCGTTTCTAGCCCGCCATCCTGCTCGTGGATCAATCAATCTCACGCACTGCGCTCCTTAAAGCTCTGGGAAGACAAATATACGGCATATACCGGCAGTGAATGTTATGAGAAATGTAAATTCAGTGAATACAAGAATATACCCAGAAGTACTGGACTATACACTATTCCAATCTTACCTTGGAAATTTTTATACATTTGCAAGTACACGCTTTGAGAAGCTCCAACGATATTTCAGATGATGAAATATACACACCGAGACAGGAATAATGCAATGGTAAAGATTCCAAACACGATATTCAAGGTATACCCCTTCACATGCCGATGCATTCCTCCAAGTAGCCTACCAACCATAATCTTAAAAGAGAAAAATATTGCTCATCTCGACGAAATCTTATAGTGCCATTCTTCTATATCCAATTCAGATGGCAAGTAGAATCTCCACAATTTGTGACTTTGTTGGCTATCCAATTCAATATCAATTATTATAAATAGTATTACGCTCCTTCGCGGAAACTGCTCTCAGTCAACGCCTCGCTAATATCCTAGCACGGCCCTCGGCCCATTCTACAGCAAAGAATGAGTGAGGGATTTAAAAGCCAGGTTGACATTTCTAAGTATACTAAAGTCTACTGAGCTTAACCATCAGACCGCCCCAAATGCCTCAAAGTGGTAGCTACAACATGGGATTTAGGTCTATATTTATAAGGAAATGGTTAAACTGTCCTTTGCAGCTATTGATGGTGACATGAATTAAGATGATGATTGTGATTGAGATAGATTTCTATATAGTTTATAATACATGATATGCTTAGGTTCATATACCTCGAGCCAAGCAACCAGATTATGTTCCTCTAGATCTAGATTCATCGGAATAATTACTTACTCAGTAAAATTCTCCTAGTCTCAGTTGTGTGTTTAGGATCTTGATTAGGTTTCTAGTAACTAGTCAATGATGTTTCTCATATCACTGAGACATAGTCATGGTTGATACAACAGGTACAAACAATGAATTGTGTCTGTACATGAGGTTGTGATATAGTCATGATCGTCTGAACAATATCAACTCATGAATGAATCATGTCTCTACATGACAATATTCGTTAGTAGGGGAGCCCCATGTCCAGCGGGATTTTTATATTTTCCTCTCAGCTACACACCCGTAAATAGACTTGCTCGGCAAGCTGGGAGCAAATGATGACCAGAAAATGGCCCATCTAAGCCCAATATCAAACCGAGAGCTGTTGGGGCAATAATGCTGAACAAAGGTTATGTCGGGAATGGATATTCACAGAGTTCTGAACTTGTGGGCATCTAATTTCATCTAGATTCACGACGCAACCCTGTACATTTTATTAGGGTTAGAATGTAGGGTTATTTAGCGGTTCAGGCTTCAAAAAATTGTATAACAAATTTGTACTTCTTCAGCTCTCTATGAAGTCTTGGCTCCATGGATTGAGGACGGCATTAATTCCTTTTGTGCTGATTGTGGAGTTGTCAACAAGAGTTGAGACTTGATGGGACGAATAGGCGACAAAGATAGAGATTTGGTAGTGAGAATATCTCATTGGTCTATCCTACATAGTTGGAAACTCAAATAGGATATAAATGGACAAAAAAACAATCTCATTGGTAATAACTAGCAACACTTCTTGTGGTAGGTCGCGATGCAGAGAATTAAGGATAAAGTATCTACCCTTTGGCCAAGACACAACATTAGGACGGAAATTTGGAAAGACGAGAGGCAAAATTTTCTGAATATCTCCTGCTTGCGTTTCGCGAGTGCTGGAATTGCGAATCCGCCACTGCGTGTTTATTCCTGACCGTATAGCACCGGCGCATAGCATGGGAAACGCCGCATTCCGCTTGGTGCCGTCGAGCTGGACTGTGTGTCGAGCAACTGATAGTGTTGGAAATTCTAAATCTAGTAATGAGAATCACTGGGCATTTGGCTCACACAATCTCTCGGATTAATGGTCTCTGGCATTCAAATCTCGCTGAGGACACGCTGATCAAGGTGTTGAGGATGACCAGGATAATGAGAACCCCATCTTTAGATCTCCAATCCATGTAATCTAATTCATTGTGTAATGTTTGGAAACAAGAAGATTATCTCTGCCGGAGTTAGTTTTAGATGGGTAACTGACATCAAGACCGGGAAGAAGGAGGGTTTTCGTCAAGCTATACTTACTTTTCACTTTTCATTGGGCCATCAGTGTCTTACATTATGTATTATGCGAAAACACTCACGATATTTGATATGATAGGTACAAGATTCGGGTGTGCATCCAATAGTGGGAGTCAGCTGCTAGTGATCAGAGATGGGCTCATGGGCCGTGTAGGTTATGCAGCGATCTGAAGAAGAATTCGATTGCCTAATTGTGGATGGGGTAAATCTCGTATCTTATGCAGTAGCCAGTTCGCTCGTAGCCCGTCACGTGACCAATGTGCAGCGTAGCAAAGTGCGTGCCCAAGTAGGCAACTATGCCAATTATGCTGCACCAATGATCCATCTCTCATACTGCACACACTACTACCGTTGTGTAGAGACTGGATCTCCTCCATGCGCCATAATAACTACATAGGGACCGCCTACTACATCCACCATACAAAATAGCTGAGCATAACAATATTCCACAATGTCGAACGGGCCCGCCAACCACCCAGTGCCCAACAAAGGCAATCATGACTGGAAGAGAAGCTTCCTATCATACCGTTGGGCCTCATTCTCTCAGTTCTAGCTTCCCTTTCTACATACGTCTCGACCGCGATATTGGCTCCGTATCTATCCCAGCGGCTCCGCTGGCTTCAAATACTATCGTCCTTATCTATCTTTATTCGTCAAAGGGAGATATCTCGAGTGTCTGGCCTCAACGGCCTCCCTTATTTCACGCGCAAGCATCTTCGTCATATCGGTGTTGAAAGTACGGAGTCCAGATGTAGCGGCTTGTGAGCCGATGCTCGTGTGGAACGTGGTTGTAATTGAAATAGTTACGCAGTTTGGAAGAATTATAAGCTGGCCTTGGGGTTGATTTAAAGATATGATAAATGTGCTTACTATACGAAGAAGTTTACTGATATTTAATGGAAATTTAATTGTGATTAAATTGCTGTAACTCAATATAAGTGTCGATGAGTCCCTCTCTATTCATGAAAGCGGTCGTTTCCGCACACTACTGTGACCTCCAACATACAGTACGGACTCGTTTTATCGATGTGGTTCCATGCCGCTATTTTGTATCGTTGTAACGTGATATCATTGTAACGTTTTAGTGGAGAGCGTGATCACATGGTACTACGTACAAACATATTTTGTAAGGAAATGCTGCGTAGTCAGCTAATTGATCAGGTGAAAGGTGTCCACATCTGTATTACTCCACACTCAGAGAACCAATTTCATACATTTCTCTACACATCGCATAACACCATCCGTAATATCTTACCCTCGTGACAAAACTTTCTCAAAATCCCAACATTTTTAATTACTTAATCCACTTGGTCAAATATCTGGTCAGCATGTCCCTACAGGGATGGGGCTTTAGTTTTATTTTTTTGCATCAGATTTTAATTGCGTATGCAGCTATCTAGCTATGACACAATATCAAAGAAAAGTACAGAATAGATGATTCAACGTAAAGGAAGAGCACTCATGCATCAGATTTCATTTGCAAGTATCACTGCGAAGTTATGGCGGCTTTTTCTACACCCCAAGTCAACCCTCATCCGTGAATACCCACCCAGGGGAACGTCTCAAAAACCCTGAGTTATCCAGACATGCCTCCATCATCTTTCAACTTTTCTCCGCGCGATATGTGATCTGAGGTGTCTCTTTCCCAAGTGGAGTAGGTGCCCAGGCTACTCAAACCATACCAGAGAACACCACCAGGAGGCGGACCACAACACCTTCCATCGTCTGCTTATTTTTATAGTGTCAGCTGCACTCTCGCAAGCGAAGTCTTGGCGCGCACAAAGCTCAATTCGTAAAACTGGTTGCCAAAATTCAGAATTTCACGCCCGTCGAGACTGTATCCATCTTTTGCATCATCTTGTAAACTTGTCCTGATTCCTCTCGCGTCCATCCTAAAGAACTAACTCCCAGATTTGTGCGACACGCTTTGCTTCCTCCGTCGGGTATAAATATCGGCGTGGGCGTGTATTTGGTGGTCAACTGAGACCAGAGAAGGTCGAAGAGAGGTGTGGTCATTGGGATAAGGATGTACTAGGTCGTACTTGTAGACTTGATGAGACTTAGGTAGGCGTCAAACTCGTTGGGAGCGGGAAAACGACGTGGTAGAGTAATTTTAAATTTTGCCTCGTGGGCCAACTTCTTTGATATTGCGAAATTTGACAGAACTTGGCTCTGGGAGAATATTTCACTCCCAGGTTCGTAGAGGACACCGCGTACAGGTGTTCAGTCTTGCCCTCCATGGGGCTTTAGTTGTAACTAGTGCCCGGCAGACATAAAATAAATAATGAGATACTCACGCCTCTTCGCACATCAATCTTGATATCGTTCTATGTCATATGTAATGTAAACCAGCTATCTAGTGTCTCTTGCCTTCTTCCAAGCTCTGCCTGCTGCTGGAGACCTCTTTCCATGCGCATGAGTATCGCGAGCTCCATAGATTGGCATCTGGCTCATGCTCCTTGAAGCTGAGCAGGCGCTTGAGGCGCATTTAGTGCTTGATTTTTTTTTTTAAAATAATTTAATGTGTATTCGGTTACAAAGCTATGACACATGACCGGTGCTATGTATACATGTGGGATGACTCTTTTGACGTTAGAGACACTCACACTCTGGATTTCATTCGCAAATAGCACTATGAGGTATGTTCGCTTACACAAATACTCGATCCTCCTCCGTGAGTACCCATCGAAGGGAATTTCGAAATCTTTGGTTATCCAAGCATGCCTTCGTCATCCATGCATACCAGCGCCGCGAGAAATGTAGTTGTGTTTTGCCGGATCTGGACCGGCGAACTACTGTCTCGAGTGGGATGAGTGTCCAAGCTATCCAGACTCTACTTGGCAGACCGGCCAAGATGTTGTAAAGGTAAGAGCTTACGGAGATTAATTGGCAGAAGGTTTACGGATGATTATCGACGAATCAATATGAACTGCTGATATATTTGATATTCAGAACTATGAGGAATTAGGAGGTTTATAGCGCTAATTATATACATATCTGAGGTGGCTTGACTCTCGCCTCATTTACCCAAAATAGTATCACGGAATATTCTAGTCTCCTCCATCTGGCAGTACAATCTAGAAACACTTTCTATATAGTGCTCCATTGTTCCTCTACTCATCATGGAGCCACCTGGAAAGTTATTCCTTCACCCTCAGTGATCATTACCCTCGTGCATCATAAACCTAGCCATCACCAGCACAACACAAGACGATGTACCACCGCACCATCCAACCACGGCGGTGTTTATTGTGTCGCCTGCACTTTAGTGCTTGATTAATCGTAGCAGGCGGCTCGGTTGCCTCCTCATCCTCTTCGTGCTTCACCTGCCGTGGCATGATACAGTGTCTCTAAGTTATAAAGTGTTAGGCTTTAAACTAGGCTGTTTAAGGGATTAGCCCTGTGGGTGCAGTTCGGCTAGCTCGCAATAGGTTAGACTATCACCCCTTATAACCCCGCTTGCCATCAAGTATGGTCCAATCGTGTTCTTCTAACGATCGCTTAGAGAAACACATTTTCAACGACACTCTTGACTGCCCAACCTAGATAGCCTCTAACTCTTAACATCACTATCAATTCATCCTCTATTCTAGCAAACAATGTCTCTCGAAAAGTCTGCTTCAGAAACTTAAGTTTGCAGGCATCTAACACGCGATCAATGTATTGAAATAAGAACATTAAGCAGACTTGGCTTGACATTATAACATATATCTGACGAACTTGGCTTCACAGGAAGGCAAGTGCAACTTGCGTGTGCTCAAGAGACTGAGATTCCCATGCCCCGCAAGGGACCCTCACCAAAATTGAGTGCGGCACAAGTTGATGAGCTTGAGGCTTTTGTCCGGGAATCTCCTGAAAATCGACTGATGTGCTCTTTGGACCTAGAAATGGGATCCTTCAGCCACTGGGGATGCAATGAGCATTAACTTTCAAATGCCCTCAATAAAATGGGTTACAGCAGATGCATTGCTCGGAAGAAGCCTCCGTTAAGTGTGGTCAACATGCACAAAAGATGTATAGCGGTGTTAAAGGAAAATGGAGGGTACACAAAGTATTGGGACGGAGCAGACTAACACAAAACATGTAGTACGCTTTCATTTTAATTGCGAGCCACACTGAGGGCTTTGATGTAGACTTTTGTAATACAGAGCAATTATTATTGAAATAGATGTGTATTTTTAGATATTATCATTTGAATTTGAATTTGAATTTGAAATCTTTAACGTGACAGGACGAACCCAACATCTATTTAGACGTGACACGGGTAGATGGGCCCTACGAGCTCATTGCTACCTACATGACCGGCATTAAAGCCAGAAGCGACAAAAGAAAAATAAAATCACAGCAAATGTCTGAGTTACGGTGCCCTGCACCGTATCCCTATCTTCCAAACACCTCTCCTCTCGAGCCAGAAACTATCTCAGCATGGTCACTCCCACCCTGTCAGTTCTTCGGCAGACTGTAGCATCTGCTTATGGTTAGGAATTGGAAAAACTTCTGCCATCCCTTCTCCCCTATCATTTCCCTGACCCCAGGTGGGGTCATTTTCTCACAGCTTCTCCAACGTTGCAGAGCAGGTCGGCACTCTGAAAAATGCCAGGGCCTTTTCTCTCGGCCGCAAATGCACATCAGATCTTCATGTTCGGGGTTGAAACGCCGGTGGTAGTCGGCGTAGTCCCCGTGGCCTGTTCTTGCCGCAATAAGACGGTGATACGCCCATCGAGGCAGAGCCAGTTCCGGCGGTCGCTTGCAGCGCATGTAGAGGTCGAGATCTTTGTATCGTTTAGGCCGATACTTCTGCCACCACTCTTCCACAAGCTTTTGGCTCCGCATTTTCACTAGTCTCCCTAGAGCCGCAAAGGTCAGAATTTGCTCGTCTCCGTTGGGCGAAGCTGAGGTTAGTGATTGGTCATTGAGATCTCCCAGGGCTGATTTGGCCAGCTTATCGGCTTCTTCGTTGCCTTGGATCCCCACATGACCAGGTATCCAGTGTATTTCTACACGCCTATTATGTCTCAGCGATGAGAACTTGTCCACCACTGTCTGCGAGGAATTGGATCTTCCTTGTTCAAGCGCTCTGACGGCCGCTTGATTGTCCAGAAGAATGCTGACCGGAAGGCCTTCTCCCACCGCTAGTGCAGCCTCCAAGGCTTTCATAGCGCCTACAACTTCTGCGTCGAATACCTCTGCTCCGGGAAGCGGACCCGAGCCACTTCCAGCTAGTTTGCCTCCTTGGTATACCACATAACCCCAAGCTGATTGCCCGGGACCCGACGAGGATCCATCAGAGAAGGCACAGACTGCGTTGGCTGGAAGGGAAGTTAACCATCGTTTGATGCTTCCTGACCTAGCTTCTTTTTCCCGACTGCCTGGTGTCGATGCCGGGAGACCATGGGGAAAGTAGAGCTTTCCAGGGCCTTCCGCTGTCGGAACTTGACGCACGCTTATTTGTAGGCGTGTCATGTACCTTTCTGGCTGTCTGAACAAGCGATCTCGTTGTCCCGATCTAAGACCTAGGCGTTTTATAGTATCTTTCGGGTCCTCCGCCGCCCGAAGGGCTAGAGGGTGCCAGGCATCCATTCTTCGCATTCGAGCTGCAGACCGCAACATCTTTTGTTGGAGAATTATTGATGCCGGGGGAATTCCCGCTTCACGATGAAGAGCGCTATTGGGAGTGGTACGCCACGCTGGGAGTGCTACTCGTATAGCTTTCGTGATAGTTTTGTCCAGCAGAGATGTGTGCCACCCTACTCCAGTGCCGACTTCTTTATCTCGGATGGTGGTTATTCGAGAAAGACCCGGCCACCACGCTTCTGCCCCATAGAGAGCTGTGTTCAGAACGCATGCCTGTACCGCACGAATTAGAGGTCCGGGTGCTGCCCCGCGCTGAACTCCGTTTATATGTCGTAAAAAGTGGACTAGACGATTAGCTTTTCCAGTCCATTCCTGTACATGCTGCTTGAAGTTCAGCTGAGTGTCAAGCCAGACTCCTAACCACCGGATATGAGGCGACGGTTCGATCCGGCGATCTTTCACCAAGATGGAGAGGTTGGCTGTGTTGATTTTCTTCCTAGGACCTCCTCCGGTCACTAGAAGTTCCGACTTTGCCGGGTCAAATTCGATCCTGTGTTCTCTGGCGAGAAGGACGAGGCTGTCGAGGTCTTCTTGGACTGCTGCGATAGCTTCGGCCGCGGTGCTTCCAACTCTAATGATGGCTAGATCATCAGCATAGCCAAACCTGCTCGTTAGTCCATGGTCCTTAAAAAGCACAGCGATATAGAGCATGAAAAGAAGTGGTGACAGTGGCGAGCCCTGAGGTACTCCACATTCCAGCATCTTCTCGTCTGTGGTTCCACCACGGTATTTCACCTGGACTTTTCGTTGGCAGAGAAAGGTCTGAATGAACCGGCATAGAGATAGTGGCCAGCCTTGTTCTCGAAGGCGTTGGAGTAGTCGGTTGTGAAGGACTGCATCAAACGCACCTTGGATGTCTAGTGTGACCATAGCCGCACATTTTCCGCTTCTCATGGCCGCCTCAGCATCATGGATTACACAGGATGCAAGGTCGACCGCAGATCGTCCTGGTACTGAGCCGAATAATTGCGGATGAACAACTTGGTGACTTATCGTCAGCCATGCCATTCTCTTGCCAACTAGACGCTCAAGTCCTTTACCTAAGCTCGACAGCAGCGAGATTGGTCGCCAGCCCTTGGCAGTTGATAGATTTCGTCCCGGTTTGGGAAGAAGCACAACATCTGCCACCCTAAATGCCGTCGGAAAGTGGCCGATTTTTAGACAGGCCTGGTAGAGATCCTTGACCAGAGGCCCGAGGTGGTACCAACAGGATTTCAGTAAACGTACTGTTATTTTGTCCGCTCCCGGTGCCGTATCATTGACAGAGATGGTAGCGTTTGTCACATCTTCCAGTGATATTTCCGTATCCCATGGAATGCGCACCTCCTGTCCATTCTCCCAGGTTGGGATGTCGTTCTCGCTGCTAAATCTTGCCAAGAGAATGTCTCGTAGCGCACTAGCCCGCTCTCGCGGGTCTGAAAGCCACCGATTTTCCTCAATCTGCAAAGGAGGGGGCTCAGCTGCTGGTCGAGGCTTAGCCCATCTCATGAGCTTGAATACCTGTGCGTCAGTTGTAACTGCCTCCACTTGCCTCTTCCAGTACTCTCGCTTGGCTTTTCGCACAACGGCTCTAAAGCTTTTACGCGCCTGTCTTACAAGGTCCGGATTTTCTCTCGCTGCCTTGTAATCCTGCCACTTGATGCGACATTCATCGTTCCACCAGGGCCCGGTTTTTCCGCTTTCAATGGCTGGGACTTTCCCCGCAATCTTCAGCGCGTCTGCAAGAGCCTGCAGGAGATTAGCTGTGAATTTTTCGATGTCCATGACACTGTCCAGAGGGGCAGCTTTGGTCCATTGGCTGACACATCGGTTGAATTCCT